TAAATGTAAGCATTAATTAATCAATTACATCACAATGATTATACAGTGAGAATAACATGCATAAATAGATTTATTTATGTTTATGTCTTTATCTTTTCTCTGTTTGATTATTTGTCTGTTTGATCATTTACTGTTTATTTGTTACAACCTATTTAGTTCTGCCTGTCCTTTTTTTTCATATTCTGTATGCATTTCTGTCTCTGTATGTCGACATGGAGGGGGTGGTTTTGCTAATATTTTTTTTTGCTTATTATGTTTTTAAGTTTTACTTTTTATAATGCCATGATTAAAAATACCTTTATGATTTCAGGTTTTTGTCAAGCTAACCCATTATTTTAGAAACTAAAATCAGTTGTCATTTTCAGAACTTCAACCTTTCCTTTATAAATCCTAATTGAGTGAGTTTTTTTTTTGTTTTTATTTCTTCTTGAGTGAAAATATATTGTAATAATGCCACTCTTCCTTGTGTGCAATTTTTTCCCACTGTTTCCTCTTCTGATTACCACAGTTGGTTGCAGAAGAGGCATAATGAAGTAAATATGGAAAATTGAGCATTTGCCATCAAACATGACAGAGTTAATTTATCACCAAGCAAACATGCAATGATCAAAGTTAGAAGAGAACTGTTCTGTAGTCAGTCTGTTCAGATTGTTAGAGAGCCTGATTGTCTGGTTTTTGTACAGCATCCTCTGTGGTTTGTATCACTGTGCCACCTCACACAGTAATAAACAGCTGTGTCTTCAGGCTGCATATTCTGTCCCGTTATTGTTACTGTTCCAGCCGAAGTGTCTCTGCTGTAGCTGAACTTGTTCTTCAGAGCATCATTCTGGGTTAAGCTCCCATCACCCCACATATGAAAGATCCATTCCATTGCTTTTCCTTTGCGATGTCTGATCCAACCTGTTGCATAGCTGCTATCAGTTATAGAGTAACCAGAGGGCTTACAGGTGATAGTCAGAGACTCTCCAGGCTGCAAAACTTTAGAGTCTGGCTGGATTAGATCAATACAGAAGACCCCTGTGCAAACAAAGGTCATGATTATCACACTAAGTCCTGCAAACCTACATTGTGTCAAATGTAATTATTGTTTTAATCAGTAGAAAGCTACTCACCTGACCCAGCTGTCAGCAGCAGCATCAGAGATACAGAGAACATGGTTGATGTTGAAGCTCAACTGATGGGAGTTCCTTGTTCCTCTGACTTAGGCAGTCATTTATCTTCCTTTTAAACAAGATACATTTGCATAATCAGATTGCTTGAAGTTATGTAATCTAGACAGTGTTTAGATCCCTTTATCCATCTTTAACCAGTAAGTAGGAACGGGTTAAGGATTTGAAGCCCTTTTCATTTTTAGCTGGTAAAAACAATTTTATTTCCCAATCTGCCTGCTAAGAGGACATGAATCCTGCCTGACAAGAGTAAAAAGGGGTCTGAAGATGGAAATGTTGAGGCTAAAACAAAATTTTCAAGGTTTAAATGTATCGTTTTTTGGGGGGTTTTTTTTGTCTTCGTCAAAATGTGTTAAATATCAGACCGTACAATAAGTATTCTCCTACACGACAACTTTGAAGTTATATTCAGAGTTTTTGAAACTTACCTGATAAAAATTAACTTGATATTCTGACCATTCAGAGTCTCTGTGTTGTTTAAAGAATCAGAACAGTTTAGTTTGAGCATTCAACTCGTTGCCCATAGGAAGATATTACTTGGATATAACAAAACCGAATATCTTCGGAACATCTCTGACATGATTCTAGAGTAGACTGGCGCAGACACAATATGAGTCAGGAAGCGGTTTAGAATGTTTATTGAGAAGTTTTACAGAGATTGTTTGGACCGTCGTAGAGGTTCGTGAAACAGCGGCTTAGTCAGGAACTGCACGGGGAGAGAGATCAGTTAGATTCAGGCTGGGGAACTGAGTAATTAAGAAAAGATGCAAACTCCTTACAGATCCTTGGAGAGCGGAGCAGATGGAGGGGAGGTTGAATGAGCCCACAGAGATTGAGTTTGGCTGAGGTGCCGGGGCTTCGGCTTGAGAGCTCCAGAGGGTGGACAGGCAGGTGAGCAATCGATGATGGATCAAGGAGGACTGAGTGGAGAACCGGCTTGGAACTGCAAGGCTTCTAGGAGACAAGGAGGACAAGGAGGTGAGCTTGAGTCTTACTGTAGCACAAAGTTCTGTCTTAGGAGAGCTAGCAGGTAAGTTACCACTGTGTGGAAATTAACCGACTGGCGTCCGTCCCAGGAAATCCACTTCTCTAAATACTGCTCCCTGATTGCGTCCAATTGGAACCAGCTGGAGGCTTTTCTGGGCTTGAGACTCTGAGGAGGAAAGGTAAGAGAAACCCTAACACAGCTCAGCACACAATCCAAGCTCCAATTGACACAAAACTAATATGGGTGAGTAGAACATGATGTAATAACATAAAATAAAGGGGCCAGTGTAAAAAAAAAAAAAAAAAACAGTGCTCCCCTTTAATTTTGAGAGAATCTTTGTTTTTTCTATAACATATTCATATTTCTCCAATCCCTTCCTCCAGCTGTCCAGTAGCAATAGACAGAAAAAGAGACCTGACAGCAGATAGTTAGAATCGACTTACTGCAGAATCAGAGGCAGGCTGTGTCAGATATTTACACTTCAACCCTGTGCAATGAATATCAGAATAGATTAGGAAAATGTTATGCAAACAATAAATTAACTAAGACACATTTCAAAACACCACCTGTGGCTGCATGAAATTGAACAAATGAACCAATGATAATTACTGTACATTTGAATTCAAACTAGCTGATTCTCCTGGAAAGGTCACATTTAAATGAAGCATAACTGCACTCTTTTGGATTTGTTATTGGGGCTGTATTATTAATTATTAGTTCCATCTACTCCACATATTAAAAATCCCTTCCATAGCTTTTCCTTCCCAATGCCTGATCATTAGATGGATGAGATCAATACAGAACACACCTGTGGAAACAGGGATTCAGCTGTTAGCAGCAGTATCAGAGCCACAAAGTACATGGCTGATGCTTAAGCTAAACTGATGAAAGCTGTTTGTTCCTTTGACTAAAGCAGATACATGACTTCCTTTCATACAAACTGACTTTCCAGATTGTTGAGTAGGAGGTGCTTTGTGATTTATCACAATACCTCATGCTTTTTTCAGGTTCCATTGTTCCCTTAAACAAAAATATTTAATTTTCTTTCTTAAAAAAGCTGATTTTACTAAATGTTCTTACATTCAGACTAGAAATCTGTCCATTCATGGATGGCAGTGGTGGAAAAAGTACCCAACTAAAGTACTTGAGTAACAGTATATTACTCTGTATATACTCGTACTCAAATCTTACTAAACTACAAGTGAAAAGTTGCTCGGTCAAAAATCTACTCAAGTTAAAGTATTGAAGCACTCACTTCCGAATGCATTTAAGAATTTAAAAGTACATGTCTGTAAAAGTACTGAAGTATTCAAATGTTCAAAAAAATCTTTCTGATATCAATACATTGCTGCATAATTTTTAGAGTAAATTACATATTCTTACTTTCAGAAACCACCTGATGCATTGATGCATAGAACTGCTGCTACAAATTCTACACCACCTGTGAAGAGTTTCAGCATAAAAATGATATACAAAAATAAGGACTGCTATTTTGATATTTTTTAATTGAAAAAACATTAAAAAAAAACAGGAGAGTCTTAATCCTCCTCTTACTTTCACATGTGAATGGAGGTCTCTCCAGGTTAAATGTATTTCAACCTGGAGAGACTCTCCCAGAAAAGCTGCAATTAAAAATATAAAATTTATTTATACAGGTAACACAATCTAAATATTTCTATCTAAGGAAAACCAGCTGTCTGCGAGGACTTTAACAGGAAGAAACCTCCAGCAGAACCAGGCTCAGTGTGAGCGGCCATCTGCTGAGGCTGACTGGGGTTCAAGGAGAAAGAAGTTGATAAAAACATAAACAAAATAAGTTCTTTGGCACTTGGGCCCCGTCAGAAGCTGCTGATGCTGTGAATCAACGTACTCTTGGATCAGTAACATTGAAAAGGATTAGGGTAGTCTTCAACTGGGAGCCCAGACACTGGTGGTGGAATAAGCTAGAGGGTGAGTGGGACTTAGGGGTTGGTTATACTCCCGCAGCAGTGTGTCACAGTTAGCTTGTTGCAGATATTTTGATTTTGGGTTATTTGTCTTGTCTTTGTCTTGTAATTTGCAGGAGTGTCCCTGGGATGAGCGGGAGGGGATTGGACCTGTATAAGCTTTTGCTTCTTCCATCTCCTTTTCAAGCCATGCATATGTATTGTTTGCCATTATATGTGTTGTAAAATGTGTTCAGGTTTGAAATAAACTTTTTTAAATGAAATGAAAAGAAAAATGATTTATGCCCAATTTTGAAGCATGGTCTGTGCTGTGTTATTCTACGCCACAACGCAAGAGGGACAATCACAAACTACCTGTGGGTCTAGATACGGCCGAGGCAGTAAGGAACTGGGGGCAAGTTTGTGTGACAACGGAGGGACATGAGGGGATCCAGGTGGAAAAAGGGTCCCAGCGTTCTCGTGCACCTCGCTATTCTAGCTGGTGAAAAGCTTTCATACATACTACTGAAAAGCTTT